ATAAGAGTATAAGAGTGCCCACAATATCCAAAACCTTGTCCATCCTGCCCAAAGCCCTGATCTCAATCCCATTAAAGCTATTTGGAGCATTATAAAGCAAAGATTGAGGCGTAGGTTATTTGATTCTGAGGAGGATATAAAGATAGGTATTTAGGAGGAATGGGACAAAATTACCTTAAAGCAAATACGGGAGCGTATTGCTAATATGCCCAGAAGATGCGCAGAGGTTGGAAGGTGCGGTGGGAAGCCTATTAGGGGCAACAAATAGTAGATTGTAGAGTTACTATAATGTATTATTATTTTTGTTGTCTTCATGATTTTGGTGTTTTTGGTCCGTGCGTAGAGAGTAGTGTCAACCACTGTTGATTGCATGTGACTGCTTATGTACAAACGCGTGATCCCAAATAACAGGACATCGCCAGGCAAACTCCACTGAACCTCATCATTTTGGCTTCATCAACCTCATTATGGCACCCTCCGTTGAGGGCTTTCATCCAGAGAATATACCCAGCATTGTCACTGGTTTTCGGAATGATGGGACTTCGGCCTCTTTCTGTTTCGGCACGGCAGACCGTCCGCTCTCTGGCAAAGAGTGTGTCATTTATGCCGTTCAGTTTCCTGACGCCGCCACCTGGGCTGTGCGTGTACCTGTGCATGTAAGCCATCTACCGCCAGAGTCCATCACTAACTTCGTGGAGACGGAGGTGTCTATCTTGAAGCGTTTACAAACGAGCGAGTTCTCCAGGTCGCCGAGGTTGTTAGGTTACAATTCCGGGTTTGATAATCCCATTGAATTCCCGTACCTCGTGTTGAGTTGGTTCGAAGGGACACAACTAGAATGGTCAGATACCATCCCTCCACAGAGAGAAAGCCGAAATAAGATTATCCGTCAAATAGTAGACATAATATTGGAGTTGGCAGACTGTACAAAGGAATTGCGTAGGAATGGCGCCTCCTCTCTCTAATGCATCACGCTTACCCGTTTTAATAGGTACTGGAACCTCCGCCAGCAAATACCTGATTGAGATCATCGACCGTAAGATCGTTCGCGCCAGCAATGGCCAGATGCCTGAGTTACAACTTCGAGATTGCTTCATCCAGCGAGCACTGGTGTCACGAGTCGTTCATCCCGCTCTTGAAAACTCCCCGTTCTTGATCTCGCACGAAGACTTGGCCCCACAGAACATTATCGTCGACAGTGAATATAACATCAAAGGGTATATCTTTCTCGCCGTGCAAATTTGACGATTCCTATACATTGCAGCCGGCATAGGCTGACTGGTTTCTACATAGGATAATCGACTGGGGTTTTGCTAGACTTCTCCCTCTTCAATTTGCAGTCGGTTTCCCACGCTTTTTAGCCATCGAACCGGTTGAAATAGACGCTCCCACACCCCCGAACGTCGTTTCCTCTTCTTCTGCCTTTCTCCAACCATCTCCAGTCCTCCAAATCGACCGCCAGAATTTCATATCATATCTCTCATCCAGATCTCCTCTCGTGGAGCCCTCCACTCCATCCAGAGCGATCTCACTCGCGCAATCTATCAAGTTAGTCTTATCGGCTTCTGATGTTGATTGGCGACGTCTCCTATTCGAAGCAGCCAGTAGCAAGGGCCTTCACAGGTGGATGGCGAAGAGATCGTGGCTGCTCCATAGTACAGGAAGTAAATGGAGTACTTGTGGAAGTTCTTTGGTTGAAGAGGTGGACGGATTTTTAACGGGCAAGATAGGGCAGAAAAGCGGCCTAAGCTGGGAGATATTAGTAGATGCTATCAAAATCTAGACGATGAACTGTTGGTTAATGGAAAGAGTGCAAGTACGAAGCAAAGTTTCTGCAAGACAAGGTCATGGGCAAGTAGAACAGTAGGTAAATGCGCGGGGAGGCGATGACTGGGCATCAACATTGTTTGCAGGGCTTCGGGAAAGCTGTACGATACATGATGCCATCGAAGTAAATGAAAGCATGACTTATTCCTCATCGTTTCTTTTGTGGTGCTTCGCGCGTTGCTCATCCAACTTTGACCATGGGCTGTGCTTGCTCGCTGCTCGGCTCCCCTTGAATCTTGCAGGAGAAAGCAAGCTCAAATGAAACCACATTGCCAACACCCAACATGACAGTCTCCAACTACGGACCATCAAAACACTGAAAATCTCATGCCCTTCCTATAATTTTATAGCTAGCCTCACGTTTGCTTCCGGGGCCGGCCTCGCCGACTCTTCTGCTGCTGGCCACCCGTTAGATCGACTTTACTAACACCCGCTCGGATGGCATAGTAGTGTGCCTGGATCGTCCCTAGGATCCGGTGGGGAAAGGCGTCATGGATCCCTTCCCACGAGCAGCCATCTTCGTCCCTCATCTTGAGCACTGTCGCATCCTCTTTTGTTGTCTATTTAATATGCTTCCGTTTTTTCTTAGGCTGTAACGGTGCTTAACGTGTCTTGGAATGTGCGGCAGCCTTGTAATGGGTTGAAGCCTTTACTGGCGCCTCCTTACTAGAACAAATATCCCAATACTTTGGAATCAATCGGTAAATAAAGGTGTTGCGAGATCGATGGTAGTCTGAATACTTATGAAAAGATCATTCCCGAGCCTTAGAGCCTCACTATTATACTAATATCGCTATTAGCCTTGTGGCTGTTGTGGCATGTAAATCATGCAAGGTCGCCACGTACCATAATATTTGCGCTGTAATTTCACTTATGGTGGAGGATGGGTAATGTAATGGGGGAATGGTAAATGGATGGATGGGATGGAGATTGTAATGGGTGGAGGATGATGGTAGATGGTAGATGGGGGGTGGATGGATGATAAATTTGATTTATGGTGGTGGATGAGATGGCATGTGCAGTCATAGTAGACAATAGAAAAGCTTTCGGGCACCAATTTACTTGTCCACCACGTGATTCGTGAAGTCATCCAGGTTCTTGTCGATCCCCATAAAAGTGATGTCGGTCGGGAGCTTGGCAGCGGCAGCGGCAGCGGCACAGCATCTGTGGGGGGGGGGGAATGTGAATCTTGTTCCACCAATCAAATACATAAATCGGGGAGCAATTCAGGTTTATGTGCATAAAGCGGCATTAGAGTGGGATAGTGAAATCAAACCCTACCTTAAGATAAAAGTAAATCGGGGAGAATTCGGGGCAATATAGAGGGCGGTGTAACAAAAAAGATCTGTGCGCTCATAGTGTAGAAAAAATATAGTATTTTAAAATTAACAATAAATCACAACGCAACGACGCAAAAGATACAACGACACAACAACCAACCACCATAATGTCGTTGCAAGAGAAGCAAACGAAGTCTCCACGTGCTAGAGCCGAAGCGGGAGCCGATAATGATTTAAGCTTTAGTTCCGAGCCCGAATTCCTTGAAGAAAACAACAATAACAACGAACTCGAGCACTTTGAAAGCAACGACTAATTCGAGCATTATATAGGTAAGATCTAATTTGCGATCCGTCTACTACAACTATTAACTTCTAGTTTTAGCTCGTCTTTCAAACAATTCTTCTACCGACTTCGCTTTTGATACCACTCAAGACAACATGAACGCAAAGCAAGTGATGGACGCTTTCATGAAAGCTCTCCAAGAAGAGCGAAAGCAAGAACACGAAGAGCGAGGCCGATTGTTAAAGCAAGGACATGAAGAGCGAAAGGGATGGTTCTTCTTCATCGCTGCGCTGGTCTTCGGTTTACTCTTCCTTTTGGGCTGGGCATACCGTCATTGAACCTGTCAAGTACGCCGCCCATTCACGTTCTCAATTTCGAAAGCAGTATTAACAAGTCTATCCAGGTCCGTAAGTTCGTCCCTCGATCGTCCCTCGATCGTCCCTCGACACAACACTGCCGGTCTTTTCGATGGTAGTATCAAAGATCATATCGGGTGGTAGAAGTAAAGCAAAGCATGGTCTGGCGTTTGGAATTCTGAGTATCGATGGAGCATAGATCTCTTTCAGGAGTATTGCATTGGTGGCTAGCTAAGTGAATGGATAGATGCGGCATGTATAGTCGATTAATCAATTCAATCACTCAACCCTTGACCTACCACCTGATTCGTGAAGTTCATTTAGCATGAGAGTGATGTCATCGAGAGCAGCCGCAGCTTGGGGTCCGAATAAGCTCTAATTGGGCGAATAAATAAGTGGCAATATAAAAGGCGGTGTACAAAAAGATTAAAGAGTATGTGAGTTGATATAAAACCTAGTGACAACGCTAACCATTTCTAGAAAGGCTTCCACGTGACCATATTTTCTGTCTTCAGACGGCAGTCTGAGGGACATCCACTCTCAGCTCGACCGGATCACTAAGAAACTTTCAACAGCCATCACAGCACAACAGCCATCACAGCGCCGCCACAGCACAGCAGAGCAGCCATTACAGCACAGCAGCGATCGACTACTCCACACCAGTAGCGCACCTCTATCTCTCTATCGCTCGCTCCTCTCCCTTCTTCTTTCCTCTCCCACAGCCCAACAACCTTCCAGCCCTCCCCCTTCGCAATGCTTAGCCCACTCTTCCCACTCCTGCGCGCGCCTCGTCTTCGGCCTAGCTAGGCTTACTTGGTTAGCTGCGCTACAGCTGAGATTCATGCGTCGAGCAGGAATTCCCTCGATCGTCCCTCGGAAATTTCGATACTGCAGACCCTCTGCGACGCCAATGACCTCCTCAGATCTGCCTCGCATTGGCCGAGATACAAGCTCAGCTAGCTTGGAGCACTCTCGACCTGCCTCGTCGTCACACTATCACGAATCCTCATACTATAAACTCAGAGATTGAGATGCCGCGGGACTTGGCCTACACGTGTTGCAGCATAATAGACATTCATAGAATTGCCTCACGACGAGGCAGCCTGGCTTCTGCCTAGCCGCCGCCCCTCGTGGATGACGCGTTAGGAGCTTGGTGAGTTTCCCTGCTTGCTGTAGCACGTTTCGTATTTATCTTGAATGCGCGGATCTGGGCTGATTCGAGGCGGCAGGATCATGCCAGGCCTCTTCAGAGCCCTGCTTGAGCCTACTGAATATCTGCCGATTGGATTGTACTAGCACGTTTGGTAGCTGAGACGCTGGACAACGAGAATCCCTAGAATGTGCTAGTCTGCCTAGAGGCCCTTGGATGGGTGGATAGAGCCAATATTCGAAGTCATGCGACCCCCTCTCGCGCTAGCTGCCCGCATGCGAGCTGAGACGCAAACGACGAGAATACTTGTGATATGCAAGTCTGCCTGAAGCCTTCGGATGAGAGCGACAGCGATCCTGATCTCAGCAGCGACGATGACGCGTGTTCGAGTAAAAAGAAGCAGGGTTCCAGCACAAGGATGAATATACCATGGGAACCTATAGACGAGCAGCGTTTGCCGGCGTACAGGAAAGAAGACAAGTCTTGGGAATAGATCTTCAAGAAATTCCCAGGCAGGACTCAGGCCGCAGTACGCACGCGCTGGACCATGGCACAGCACAGAGTCAAATAAGCTTCCTCCCACACGTGGTTGAGGGAAGCGGCGTTCAAAGTGAGGAAGATTGGGGGATCAGATGCGTGGGCGAAACACTTGGAAAGAGAATAAAGAGTGATTTTGTAAGGAGACATGAGGCGCAAAGTGATCGCAGGAAATAATTGATGTACTGTATAATAAGGCATGGTTTCATTTCCATCCCAGGCATCGGTGCATTGTACAGCTTTCCCCAGGTACTCAGTAGCAGTTACCTCTGACTCCGCAACCGCCAACTGCTCAATAGGTATGCCAACCACTCCAGCAGGTAGAACTCTGACGTTCAAACTATATAGTATTCCCAAACCCTTTCGTGGCAAACGATACGCCTCAAAATGCTGACTTGTAATCGGCGAAGCCACTCACTGATGTAACTCTACAAGTCGACCCCTTTTCCTCGACTTTTTGAATTCGCTCCCCTCAATCCTCTGAGACAGGGAAGTATCGGGGGTAACGTCTCGCGAACCAACACGGTTTGATTGACTGTTAGCTTCCTCTAGAGAAGCGGCATCATAGCTTGTTTAGTCAAAGAGATGGTGGCTTTCTAACCCCTGTGAGAGTCCAGATTCCCCTGTCTCGGATACCTCAAAATCCAGATCGGGAGGCAAGTTATCGATAATTGAACAGATTCTTTTCAAGTGAGTTGGCATCCATATGTCGTAGATATTCTTGGTGAATTTGTATGCCGTCCATTTCTCTTTGCCGTCCAGTTCTGTGAAGTCAAATTTACGGATAGGATGGCGGTAGAAGGTAGTTTTGTTTCCATCGATCACAGGATAATGACCGTAGATTCTAACTGTTTCGTGATGATGTGAAATAGAGAAGGCGAGTATCTCACGGTGAAGCTCCTTTTCGCGTTTCACAAGTCTGAAAAGTTCGACAACATATAGTTCGATATCGGAATCTCGATATGAGGATTTTCCATTTCCGTCTTTGGACCTGAGTAGTCGCTGCTGTAGCCTGAGCCGAGGATGAGCAAACCCTGAGTCGTCTGGGCTCCTCGGCTACGACTGCCGCCGGTTAAAGTTGAAAGGAGCAAGACAAGGAGTTCTTTTGGGGCCGATAATGGACCCCCGTCAGGTACCCCCAACTTTACAGAAGTATATAATGGTAATAGGGTAGAGCATGACATGGGTAGTCAAATTATGGATAAGTATTAAAAAGTTAGTGAGCAGGGGATATATCTTGATCCCTCGGCTACAGTTGCATCTATCAACTAAAATCAGAACAAGATTCAAAGATTTTTTGGGTGGCCGTTTGTGGGTCCCTTAGTATTATTCAACATGACTAAAGCTGTTCACCTTCCTATCGCCTAAAACCCGGCGTGCTCTAATTTGTGGCACTATAATTTAGAGTACTACAACTTAGAGTGCTATAACCTAGCATACTAACACTTAGCGTACTACTACTTAGGATACCACAATTGTACCATTAATGAATGAGGTGAGTTAGGGTACCTTCTCCTACCTAAGCCTCGATTTAGCTTTCCGGAGTGTTTTATGAGTTTACGAAATCGTGTTTGGGTAGTTTGCAATTCGAGCGCGCATATTTTGGAATATGGATTTTTACTTAGTACTCTTGCGAAGAGGGCCTTGAAAGGAGGGTTTCTATTATTCTACAATTAGCTGTAGCGATTCTCGTTTTGCAATAAGCGGTGTGAGCTAGCTAATTTCGCAAATACAATACAAGTAAGCGAGCATCATCTGTCAAGATGCATTCCCTGTGCTGCTTGACCACTATAGAAAACATGCTTTTCATACCCATTGCCCCTATTTCAGAGCAGACCGATGAGCTCCACCTAGCCGGGAAGGTAAACCTAGCCCGCGTTGAGCTTCAATGGACACCTGGGATTATTCACGTTGAAGGCTCATCCCAAACAAGAGTAGATTTTGAAAGTAGTCTATGTAGGAGTAAGGACGTTGCATGTGGACCAGACACCAAGAAGACTTACTGCAGTTTTCTGGGCTAAGTTTCCGAATAGCTGTTTCTCCGAATCCTATGAAGCGAAGAGCTTATCTTCATCCCGCAGATATTCGCCCGCATCAGCCTGTCGGAAGCACACAACGGCCGTAGGATCTAGTTGTTTTGCCTGTGTAGAACTCCTTGCCGTAACTCCAAAACCGAGGGGAATATCATCCATACTGCAAAACACAACTTCTTGGTGTTCAAGACAACCTTCAGACCAACGACCAACGTGTGCCTTCACCACATGTCCGCCGTAAAGGAGAGGCATTACCCCGTTTGCACGAATCCATATTTTGTGTCGTGCATGTTCTGCAAGTAAAGGTAAAGCTGTTACGTGCAGACGTACTCTGCCTGTCTTGGTGAACTTCCCTAGGCGCCGCAACTTATTAGTCGCCTCGTCCAACATGTTACACGTTACAGAGCGGACAACATACCGAGACAAGTCCCAAGTGACAACAGCTTATCGCGGGCGATCGACGACGCTAGATTGGCGTGAGAGAGCAGTACATAGTAAATGCGGTCGCGGTGCAGCCGAAAGACGAAGCGGTCGGATTGAGGAGAATTATCGAGAGGCGCAATCAGATTCTTCAAAGACGGTCCCGCGAAGCTCGCAAGTTTCTTGAATAGGGTATGCGTCTCAATCTCTGTCAGGGGGCGCATATCGACTAGCCTGTCCTCGAATGGCGCAGGATGAATATGGAGACAGAGATGGGCGGGTAGGGAGATAGATAGGTAGGTGCAGGTGTGTGTAGTCTTGAGGTCGAGGGGGTCGAGGAGTCGAGAGTCGAGTATCGATAGTGGAGAGTGGAGAGTTGAGAATTTCCAGGTGTTCTTGGGTGCCAAACCTTATAGCTAGCGCGAGGGCTAGCCACTTAGGGAATGGCTCAAAAGGAGCACGTGGATTCGGGACGAAAAGACAGCTCTGACCGGATGAGATGCTAAATTCTTGCTTCATAATGGTGTCGTCGAAAATCCCCTGGCCCCCCTCCTAGGTCGTAAGCAATCTCCGCTCTCCCCTCTTTTCCTATGCTCATTTGTTCGAAGGTAGGAATTACTTCGAAGTATGCAAAGTATACGTACCCCCACCAAATCCCAATCCGAATCCGACTTTTCGATCAAAAATCGCCCTCGAGCGCGCGATGCGAAGCCGCACCTTCCGTTCCAAAAGTGCTCCAATTGCCGAAAGCGAGATCCTGTTGCTGGTCTCAAAATTTGCCAACCTTGTCGCGGCAAAAATCGAGACCGGTACAACCAACGGAAAAAAAATCGCGGCGCTGCTTGACCCCCAGCTGCACCCTAGGCCTCCCAAGCCAAGCCGGCGAGGCAGGCAGCTACCAGAAGGCGTGTGCTCGGGTTGCCGAAAGCGAGATGCTGCTCCTGGCCTCAAATCTTGCCAAGCGTGTAGAGATAGGAAGCGTCGTGAGTGGAGTCGAAGGGCAAAGCCCGCGCAGCTGCTGCTAGTTACAAGACCTGCAGTAGAAGCGAGTCCTCTTTGCCTAGGCTGCAACAAGCGGGATGCTGTTCCTGGCCTTACAATTTGCCAAACGTGTCGAGATAGACGGCGTTTCCGGGACAATCGAGCGCTCAAGCAAGGCAAATGCTCAGGTTGCAAAATTCGGGATCCGGTTCCGGGACTTAAATCTTGCCAAAAGTGTCGAGATATGAAGCGTCAACAGTATAGTCGAAGAGAAAAGCAGACGAAGCTATTAGAAGCTACAGAGCTTCTGGATAAGAGGCCCTTGAGCAAGTGCTCGAGTTGCAGGATCCGATATGCTGTCCCCAAGTTCAAATTGTGCCAATTATGTAAGAACAGATCAAACTTCCGAGCTAGACGACTAGTTCAACAAGGTAAATGCTCAAGTTGCAAAAGCCGATATCCCGTTCTCGGACTTAAAACATGCCAGAACTGTCGAGACAAAAGACGACGCCCAAAGAAGCAACGAGTCGAAGAAACCAAGCGCTCATTCAATGGGTTCGGGGGTTCTACTGATTCTGTGGTGATTTCAAACCCTAATGATACAAAGCATGCTCTTTATGAGGGGCCTCAAGTTCCAAAACTGCCCGTTTTGAAACCACCCCCGCGACTTGAGGTGGTAGGGAAAGGAAAACCCCCGAATTTCAGGGTCGCGAATTCTGCTGATGAGCCCTTGGTGCTTGAGCAACCTGTTGAGGCGATGAACTTGCAAAATGTCGACAGCAGAAGGTGCGGCAGCTGTTACAAGCATGATGTTCGCCCTGGTCGCTTGCAATGCGAAAGTTGTATACATTCTATGGAAGAGGTACTCGCGGAACGTAAAGCGCTAGGGCTATGCGCAGACTGCGATGATGTACCAGTTCCTGGCTCCAACCGATGTGAGATTCATCTTACAAGTATGCGAGAGCACAGTGCGAAAGCGCAAAAGTATGCGCGAGCGAGGGTTCTACAGCGGAGTCTCGACGGCAAGTGTACTTACTATGTGCGGGAAAAAAAGGCCTCTCATCAACAGAACCTACTGTCCCGATTGTTCTAGTCTTAGGACACAAACTAGGAATAAAGACAGGGAAAAGCGAAGACTCGAAGGCAATTGTCTAAAGTGTGGAAAGAATAGACCGCGACTTGGCAGCCCCCACTGCTCCACTTGTTATAATACCATGACACGGTCTAGAAGGAGCCGCATAGAGACTCGGAGAGGGAAGTACTACCGGTGTCGTGATTGCGACAACGGGAACGTACCCTTTGAGTCTCGATTACAGCATAAAGATATATGCATTCCGATTAGATGCCAGAATTGCAGTGGAAAATTTCCTTCAGAGAAGTTACAAGCCCATATCGCAGACTGCAGGTCAAAAGGCATTCGAGGCTACAACAAGTCGAACGTCGATGTCGAAGCTCAGAGGCGTTCAATAAGAATATTGCTCATGGCTGATACAACTTACCTAATATCTCCTGCTATATCGCGAATTACTGACTCTTGGTACAATAGGCCATTTACTACTATAGTAGCGGACTTCGAATATTCTAGTTCCGGCCTAACCTGGGAAGATTTTCTTCATCTAGGGGTGTTTGAAATTGCAATCGCAAATGCTCAGGGGGGTTGGATAGTCCTAGGGACTACAATAAACCACGGCATCTCGAAAAGGGAGCTATTCGAAAAGGGTAACCTCTTCCCTGCCAGTAGCAGATCGCAATGGGAAGGTGGTGTGACCAAACATTACGGTTTAATTGATGACACTCAGACGGATGGGCTTACATGGGAAGAAGTTGCTATCTTTATCGATAATTACGTTCAGGTTTGACGCCGACCCTTGCCTTCCGAACTTTGCTAAATCAACTTGACTAGGTACATGGCAAGATCGAAACCTTTCTAGATTGGGGAATCAACTCTTCAGACTACAAATGTCTTCGCCTAGGTATGATACAAGCAGAAAGGACGGATCTACTGCCACCTCAACCCAAATTGGAAGAGCGCCCATATAGCTAGTGGTGTTTATTAAGGCAACACCTGGGGCTGCAAAAGAAGCTCGATCTCCGCCTCAGTCTTCTTTTCATTGGTATATTTCCTCAAGGGCAACACCTTTTCGCTCACGCTCATGAAGCCAAAGCCGATGTCGAGATGACCATCCTCCTTATCAATGCCTACTTTACGATGGCTCGTGGCTTGGATCTGCCAGAGAGGATTACCAAGTACTTTCAGAGGGTAGATAGTAGAGGATAATTGCATTTTGCCTAACGCAAATAGAGGGGAACACTATTTAGGGATATATTGTGAAGGTATAGTAGTGATAGATTTCAGACCCCTGGCTGGGCGGAAATGGTCCTTTCGCGACCATAAGCCGTAAGAATAGGCATTGTGCATGGGCCGTTTTGGTGATACGCCGCGATTAGGGGTCCGCAGGTGGCTAGAGAATTGACCTCACTTGTTCTCGCCAACTACCTAGCTCCAAAAACCTGCGCCGTCTCGCGCTAATCCAGCATTTATACCTCGAAAGCTCTCTTCTTCAATACCCTCCACCAACCATCACATCCTCAGAGATCGAGCACTTGTACAACACAGAATGGAGTCTTTAACGTACCGCGGATCTACCTCCGACTTCTCTCGCTTTAAGTCCGGCATTATCATCAAGTCGCCTATGAAGGTTTGGGCAGGAAACCCCAATCGCAAGAAACTGGAGGAAGAAATGGAGGAAGCCATCTCTTTTGAACGACGGATTCTGGAAAAACTGGGTAGCCATCTCAGGATCGTTCCGTTTGTGCACCCTCCAACCTCACATGGCCGCAAAGCTAAGCGTTGTTAACAGATATCTGGGAGCTCATGCCCCTTCTAGGGGCATTCTGCTTACCGAAGCAAGCCATGGAAATCTGCAGGCATATATTGATTTCAACAACGCAGCAATTAACAATTCTTTGCGTTGGAAATGGTCTGTGCAAGCGGTCGAAGCCGTTGCATATGTGCACAGGCAGGGCGTGATACACTCGGACCTGCGACCCGAAAACTACCTGGTGCATGCCACGGGTGAGTTATCGCTAGACCTTTGGCTCTGCGACTTTGGTGGATCGAGATGTGACGAGCTGGGATTCAATGTCCACCACCTGCCTGACGAACCCTTTTTTGACCCCCGGATGCCGTGGGAGTCGACGCCAGCAACTGATATCTTCAGTCTAGGGTCCATCGTCTATACCACTCTGACAGGATACTGGCCATATAGGGAAGGCCCGCCCCCGGTGACTGTTGAGGACAAAAATGCCTATGAGACCCACGTGAACGAGATGTTTGCAGCCGGGATATTCCCAGACGTGTCCATGTTGAGAGGTGGGAAGGTGATCAAGGGATGCTGGGACCACCAGTACAAAACGGTCGAGGAGGTGCTGTGGGCTATTAAGTCGGAAATGGTAACGCTGGAGAAATAGCGTGCACAGGAGCGCACGGTATGCACGGATATCAGCATAATGTAGAGTCGTTTTCCTATCCCTTTACTATGGGTGTATATCACATTATTGCACGAAGACATGGTCGTAGAAAAATGAGCAAAAGTGATCATTATCGTGGGCCAATAATGAGTTGAACAGCTGTAGACTACCTAAATATGTGGATCGCTTCAATCGAAGCACTTGCTGGGATTGATGAAAACTTCGTCAGAAAGACTTCGACAAGATGAATGAGGGTCGAAGTGGAGGTGCTTCCGCTTCCGATTGGGCGAAGTCTCTTGAAGAACTGGCACACGCTTCAAAATCTCTGAACGCTCAAATCCACATTTCTGATCTCGGGATTCGTACATCACGATGCTCTACTCCGTAACCCACCAACTTCATAACCCCGCTCGTTTCCGCAGCTAAATCTTGTCCTATGGCTTGGACCAAATCCTTGCGTGCTTGCTCACCTGCCCATGACATGAGTAGCATGTGAAATATTCTAACCCCAACGTTATGAAAGTAAGGGCGGATGAGAGAGATGTTCAGCACAATGTGTGTTAACATTTGGACAACTATCATCCAAGGGACCTTTTCGTACAAGCCCTAATAAGATGTCAGCGTCGCTCTGTGCTTCGGCTTCGATGTTGGGTTCTGCGAGGTGATAATAAAGCATATGTGGCTCATTTTCCTTCAGTCGAAGGAAAACATCAGCTTCTCCTATAACCAATTTGCTGTATTCGAGGCCATTCTCAACCACACAAGCATACGTTTGCGTAAGAGCTGCTGCTATCAGCCACTCAAAGTGGTAGACAAACTTGTCCTCTAGATTAGTTAGTATTGTGATCCAATTAATAACATCCTCCGGAATATTTATAAACCCTTCATTAGCTCGCAAAAGTCTAGCCCGTAAATTGAAGACTGATAGCTTATGAGATGGTTTGTATTCCATAACTATACGCAAGCTCCGTGTGCCATCTGCCTCCTTGTATACACAAATCTGATCGACATTTCGCGGTTTTGGATTCGAGCTTGAGGCTTGTCCTTTACTTGAGATGCGGAGATCTTGCAGACTTTGCTGGACCTCTTCGTTGCTATTATTGAGGGTGTTGGCATGGTGTTCGAAAATAATGCCTTCGCCCAGATTAAACGTACTGTGAGCCTCTTCTATTCGTTGAAGGTGGGAGATAATGTGTATTGTCGGTCGCTCAACGGCTAGGCGCTGATATGCCTCCAAATCCCTCTCGCTTGACAATGGTCTGTCGCAGAGGTCCTGCCCAAGCTCAGTGAGATACTGGGTGGAGCTAAAAAGTGCTGCGTCTCTAAGGCTTCAACAGGGTCGGGCAGGGCTTGTTCTTGGGGCTGGTAATGGAACCCTGTGTACTAAGGCTCTTGTCTGTCTGGATACGAAGTGATTTCGAGAGAAGTGTATGGCAGGCACGTATGTATTCTTCGAATGTTGTGGGTTTTGTCTTCTTTCCCTCGATCTGAGCGCGAGACTCGGCTTCTTGTCGATTTCTTCGTTCCAGTTTTGCCCTCTCGTCGGCCTGTTCTGCCTGCTCGTCTGCTTCTCGTCGATTTCGCCGCTCTTCCTGAAGCAACTGCTCCAGACGCGCAAAATCCGAGTCCTGTCGTGACGACATTTCGTGAATGTGAGCTTGTTGTCGAATTGAAAGTATGGATTGGGTGGCTGTCATCAATTTGGCTGGGCCACCACTCATTATTGTCTAGGCAACGGTCCGGGCGCTCCATATCATTCCCGATTCTTCCAGCTAAAAACATGGCGACATCGTAGAAGGCGTTTAGGATGGACACCGTTAGCTTGTTTGAGGGTACTTGGAGGATTTAATTTGACGCAAAGATATGTATGAATCTCAAATAGTTAAATTTCTGGAACTTTTTGCGACCGAATCTTGGTGCAAAGGCTGCACTTTCAGCCCGAAGACATTCCTAAAAGGCATTGCAGCCTAACTGCACAGGGTCTGTTCGGTCAGTATCGGATTGCTGAGCAAATCACATGGACATCGAGCCCCACCACTTGCAGAGGCCCGCAAACCACAATTTCTCCCTGCAATGGAGTAACCTCATCGACCGCTCAAATTTCAAAGAAGAAATCAGATACCATCCAAGGCTGTTTCTTGAGCGTTAACGATGACTCAGTTGTTCTACCCGACCAGCTCCTGGGAGTGAGACTTAGGCATTGTAAGTTAGGCTGGGTCCTGACTCATGTTGAAATTCGTGTGTTGAAGACCGCTTCCATCCCGATCATGTCTCACCGGTAGAGGTATCTCAACCGTTTGTGAAAAGTGAGGTGCGGTCTGATATCGTGGCGCACTTCCGTGGGATTGTATTGATTCCAACAGTGACGAAGCGCTCGCTGCGGGAAGAGGTAGCGTTTGGCTATTGTGGGGGATAGGCGGTAGAGGTGACAGAGAGGCACTATAGCACCATGTTTTTCTAAACCGTTGTCTCTTGCGACGTGCTCCTGGTTTTTCCTTGGCAGGAGCATGGCGATTCAGATATGGTGTTTCTTCATCATCACGAACTGAATTAATCAATAAAAGAACTATGCTGGAAAGAGAAGAGGTTATACTTGGAGATTTGATGCGAGTACGGATCCATGTTGGGACATGGTCGTTGATTCTAATCTTCTTGACCTCCTCTATCAGGATTATTTGCCATTCTTTTGGCAACGCCTCTATCTGTGCAAATACCCAGTTATTGTCACCCTTTGTAGCCAAGTAGAGTGCGACGACTGCATGGATATCTCCATAGCGATAAAAGTCGATGGTGATATAGTCGGATTTGTCGCACTGTCCGTTGACGCAGGCTCGGATGACGTCCTCGATGTTCCCCTTTGGAAGCCAGTTCTTCTTGGTCGATTCCAGAGCATTGTAGAAGTGTACTCTAAGTTGCTGCAAACTAATTTCGTTCTCAAGACTCTCGATAGGAGGGAAGAAATGTGGCTGATTTTGGGGTTTCTCTGCATCGCGGATGGCTTGTCGCAGAACCTCCAGATATCGTTTCAAAGACTCACCATAGCAAACCTTGTAATCAGCATCCGATGGCGACTCCAACTGAATCACAGCTGCCATAATTCAATGTTGCGACTTGGATAGGCGTGAAAGAAGGATTTCTAGTGTGTTGGTGCTCGTAAGAATAATGGAAGTTCGCAAGAATAGTTCACGCCTCTCAAGAGCAATTACACTTCCGCTTCCCGCAACACACTGCACATCGGCTTCTTGCCAACACATCATGTTGGAAACGGGAGCCATCGATTCCCTAAGGCAAGAGTCAACTTACTTTGATTTCTCTTTCCCGGATTGGTCACGTCTCTCGACATCAAGGGAGCACTACTATCCATGTATCGTATTGTATACGCACGATGAGCCCATGCACCCATAAAGCAGCCCCCCGTATTATCTGCACACTAAATCGAATGAAGCCATATTGATTGTTCTTTTGCATACAAGCTTCGATGCTCTACCATCATTGCTTTAACCCAATGGGTAGCTCTCAAGGGTGCATCAATCGTGGACCGTCAGCTACCTTGGGGATGAAGATGTTGCATACGAGTTTTAATGCTTTACAGCATTGCCTTAACTAATTGGAGGCACCAACAATGGGGAGGATACCACACGGAGATGTTCCGTCTTTGGGAACCGCAAAGTTGATACGCCATAAACTCTATCAATGCTCCACATCAATGTCTCGCCTCCCCCACATTGCTCCATGAGGAATTCACAAGCCAGCTTGGTCATTCAAGGAGTCAACACATCATCCTGTGACCGTAGACCGCCGGTTCATCCAAGGGACAACGGAATCGGCTTTCTTCATCAACTGTCCCGCGTTGGCCACGCAAGAATGGAACTCCGTTGCGAACAATGATACGAAAACCAATGAATGTATAAGGGCAAAGATCCCCTCTGAAGTTTTGATCATAACCATCTATGCTCTAGCATCCAGCTTTTCAAGCATCTTCTCGAACCTTTTCACTCTGTATATCTTGTCTATCTCGTACATAAACGCCGATTGTCATCTTTCACGTTAACAATGCCTCCAGCAGATACGGTTCAGACTGGCTCCTCACTGGCCCTATCACAACCAAACACGCCACCGAGCAGCCCGAATCCATCATCGTCAGAGCATATCGTCACATTGAACAATGCCCAGCAGTTCATTGATATGGTCAAAGCTGTTGTTGCCATGCAGATTGCTTTGCCTCCTGTTCCGAAGTGCGCTTGCTCTCACACGCCAGACACGCCAACCCTTCAAGGATTCACCCAGCCTCTTACGGTCGAGGATCTCGAGCAGTCCATTGCGAAGACCATTGAAGCAAAACTGTCGACCTCGGCTGGGAAATCCGAGGATCCCAAACCTGTCCCTGCAGGCGCTCAGCTAGAGGATGTGGCAGCCAAAGCTTCGAGACTAGAATTCAAGACGGTCGATGAACTGTACGTCTCCAACGGTGTGCAAGTCCCAGTCAGCTAACAAGCTACTCCCAACTAGTTGGGACGGGAAAGCCCATACGTATGCGATTGTGGAATCTCTGAAACCAGTAGGCCAGGTAACTGGACTAGACCAATACGTTTTTGTAGTTCGTCGCCGAGTCGGTCAGTATATCAATACTCTCCCATCTTCCTTTGCTAACTGTAAATCTCTAGATAGGAAGACCAAGGTGACGACTTGCTATGTCGACGTCAAATCAGAGTTTCTGCGAGATATTTTAAGAGATGTCTTAAAGGACATTAAGGGGATTAGCTTGAACGAAAGCAAGCTTTCTGTAAGCTATGCCCCCGCAGTGTTGAGATCAACTACTCACTTAAGACAAGATCGAGCAGAACTTGCTCTACACCACCCTTCCCAAGCTCGAGCTGTGTCAGAGCTGGAATGAAATCGCTCCTCTCGATCAAGAGAGAACATCGCATCTCGGGTTGCTTATAGACTACCTGAAAAGCGCATATACAGACACAACCCAGAGTATGCTGTCGCTACTGCTTACCGGCTACATCACGTACGACCTGCTCTGGGCCCTCTTCAAGCCGAATGACTTGGTGTATACTACTTGCTCTGGAACACACAAGCCTCGATGTGTTAGATACAACTTTGGCGAGGAGAAGAGAACCAAGGCGGGCACTAAATACTGGAGTCTCGACTGTAGTTATTTGGATTTCAATGGCGAAGACCTTTGCTTGCTCCCGATCGAAGTGAAGATCGCCAATTTCCGTGGGGCAAAGTGCGTCACCGCCCTAGCGGCTTTCCCGCTCCAATATCATGCGGAGGCCGCAAGGGTTCGAGCCGAGCTCCTTGGATGCGGGCGGAAATTCATGTCCCTGAGGGGCTCTCACCATCGTTATTGCAATGGCAATGCCTTTTACGTGCGTGATGGACAGCAGGTAGAAGTACGTATCGACAGTCGGATCATGGTTGACGCCGCCTACTTCTGGAAGATGAATCCAAACCATTTCAGGCAAACGGTCATTGATCTAGATCACGAACTTGACATTTCGAGTTTTCTTAAACTGTTTCGGGATATATACTCTAGCGAGGCCTCCAGTGAAACATCTTTCGACGATGCCTCGAGTACAACATCTTTTGACCTGGCAAGTGAAACATCCCCTGACCAACCCGAAGGCAGCGTTATGGAGTAGGCCGAAATGACAGACAAATACCTCCTTATTTGCTGTCCCATAGTGCCTGGGTTCAGCCTCAAAGACAAGCTGTGGGGTAAGATCCTTCTCTCTTAGTAGTGTAAGACGGTTAGGCTAATCCTCTTGTGCACAGTTGAATTTGCAGTAATTGATATCGAGGAAATTAAATGGTCTTTAATGCTTTTCGACTGCCTAGCTTTACCCGATGAGCAAAAAGAGGCTATTATGGCCGTGACAGAGACGAGTCGTGATCCGGATTCCGAATTTGATGACATCGTTGTTGGGAAGGGGCGTGGCATCATTGTTCTTTTGTAGTACGACGCTTTGACCGTTATTTTTTAATAACTATTGACGTGTGATTCAAGTGGCAAGCCTGGGTTGGGAAAGACCTTGACAGTGGAGGCGATAGCAGAACATCGCCAAAAGCCAATGTACTCGGTATGAGAACATGTATTTTGACAGAGCACACCTCTTTTAACCTTTTTAGATATTTGCTGGAAACCTGCCTATCGATGCAAGTCGGCTTGAGAGCCAGCTCTTCAAAATCTATCACATTGCGAAACATTGGGATGCAATCCTACTCCTAGATGAAGCAGATGTGTTTCTCGAGGAACGTGCACCCAAGGATATATACCGCAATAGCGTCGTCTCGGTGTTCCTCCGCACGATGGAATATTGTCAAGGGATTATGCTCCTAACAACAAACCGTGTGACTGACTTCGATCCAGCAGCTCTTTCCAGAATTCATCTAAAGGTGAAATATAACGACCTGAAGAATAATGCGAAGAGCGAGGTATGGAGGAATTTCCTCGCTCGGAAGTGTACCTCCTATGGAGCTGATAGAATAGAGTGAAAATTGGCAGAAGCATGCATTTTATTGGGTTAGCCCCTGGTCTCATAGAATGTACTAGAACCACCCTAACCCTTAAGGGACTTCTTTACTTTAAGACAAAGGTAAATCGGGGAGAATTCGGGGCAATATGGAGGGCGGTGTAACAAAAAAGATCTGTGCGCTTATAACGCAAAAAAAATATAATATAAGTTTTTTTTTTAAATTATCTTTTGTGGTTTTAAAATAACAATAAATCACAACGCAACGACGCAAAGGATACAACAACACAACAACCAACCATCATGATGTCGTCGCAAGAGAAGCAAACGAAGTCTCCACGTGCTAGAGCCGAAGCAAGAGCCGAGGCGAAGGCCGATAATGATTTAAGCTTTGGTTCCGAGCCCGAATTCCTTAAAAATAACAACGAATTCGAGCACCACGCAGGTAAGATTTGATTTGCGATCCATCTACTACAACTATTAACTTCTAGTCTTAGCTTGTCTTCTAAACAATCCTCTTACCGACCCCGCTTTCGACGACAATACCGAAAACGAAGACGAAATGAACGCAAAGCAAGTGATGGACGCTTTCATGGAAGCTCAAAAGAGATGGTTCTTCTTCATCGTTGCGCTGGTCTTCGGTTTACTCTTCCTCCTCGCTGCGCTAGTTCTGGGCTGGGGACATGCTAGATACCGCTATTAAACCTGTCAAGTACGCCGCCCATTCACGTTCTCAATTTCGAAAGTAGTATTAACAAGTCTATCCAGGTTCGTCACTTCGTCCCTCGACACAGCACTACCGGTCCTTTCGATGGTAGTATCAAAGATAATATCGGGTGGTAACAAGGTGGTAACAAGACAAGGCAAAGCATGGTCTGGCGTTTGGAATTCTGAGTATCGATGGCATTAGTGGGCTAGCTAGGTGAATGGATAGATGCGGCATATGCAATACACAGACCAGTGCGCCCATAGTCCCAAAAGCAGCCCCAGACCATAACTTTCATGTTCTTATAGCAGTCATATATCTGAATCATCTCCTTGTCCCACCTCTAGTTGGTTATACAAAACACCCATTCGGTCTGTTTACCCCGCCCCCGCTCCACAAAACACTCATCACTCCACATGTACGTACCCCATTCCTCTGCATTCCTATGCCTATTCTTCAAGCACCATACAAGCCTCTCAGCCGCATTCACCTCTGTGAGCTCCGGTCTCCTCCTAGCTCTCTAATTAGTGATGCCATGTTTGGTGAGGATGGACTTGATGGTGGTACGCTTGAATGCTAGGCCTAGGGCTAGAATGAGCTGTGAATAGCTATCCTTAGGGTGTAACCGGACGTGGCGTATCAGCCTTCGTTCGTCAGCTTCTGTATAACATAATGGCGGGCCGGATCTAGGGAGTGACTCTCCTTCATGGCGCAATGCCTCTATATCAAAGGTGCTCCTGAGGGCGCCGCGGGAGCATTTCATGCGCTTTTGAATCTGGCAGAATTTCAGGCCCCCATTGAGCATGCCAATAGCTTTACCACGTTGATATGGACTAAGCTCTTGGTTCTTCAGCCGATTGCCAGATATCCTAGCTAATGGAGGGCGTTGAGGTGGCATTTTAATATATTTAAAAGAGGGTGCTTGAACGCGTAACGCGCTTTTTTACGCGTTCTCGCTTAATTGGCTCAGACTTAGCGGCACTGACTGTACGGCTGCTCCCGACGACATCACTCTATGGGATCGACAAGAACCTGGATGACTTCACGAATCAAGTGGTGGGTTTGAGTGATTGAATTGAGACTGGATTGACGACTGATTGCATATGCCGCATCCATCTATCCATTCACCTAGCTAGCCCACTAATGCCATCGATACTCAAAATTCCAAACGCCAGACCATGCTTTTGCCTTGCCTTATTACCACCTTGTTACCACCCGATATGATCTTTGATACTGCCATCGAAAAGACCGGCAGTGTTGTGTCGAGGGACGATTGAGGGACGATCGAGGGACGAAGTGACGGACCTGGATAGACTTGTTAATACTGCTTTCGAAATTGAGAACGTGAATGAATGGGCGGCGTACTTGACAAGAACAAAGCCCGGGAGAAGATCAAAGCCCAAGAAAAAAACAAAGCCTAGCGTAACGAAGAAGAATTGGCGTCGCTTTTGCTATCGTCTTTGCTTAATCTTTTTTTTAAGAGCCTTGTTTTTTTTTTGGAGAGCCTTGATCTTTTTATGGACAGCCTTGTTTTCTTTTTAGAGAGCCTTGATCATTTCGTGGAGATGCTCTCGCTCTTTGCGTGCTTGCTTTCGATCTTCGCGTGCTTGCTTTCGATCTTTGCGTGCTTGTTGTTGATCATTGCGTGCTTGCTCTCGATTATTGTATCCTCGCTCTTGCTCTGCTTCGAGCTTCTTGAATATCTCGTCAGCGCGCATTTCGTTTTTAATACTCTCGAAAGCGAAGTTGGTAGATAGATTGTTTGGAGGACGAGCTAAGACTAGAAGTTAATAGTTGTAGTAGTAGACGGATCGCAAATCAAATCTTATTTGTATGATGCTCGAATTGGTCGTTGCGGGTCTCAAGATGTTCGAATTGATCGTTGTAGTTCTCAAAGTGCTCGAGTTCGTTGTTTTCTTTAAGAAATTCTGGCTCGGAACTAAAGCTTAAATCATCGGCTCCCGCTCCCGCTTCGGCTTTAGCACGTGGAGACTTCTTTTGCGACGACATCATAATAGTTGGTTATTGTATCCTTTGCGTTGTTGCGTTGTGATTTATTGTTAAAACTACAAAAAATAATTTAAAGAAAAAACTTATATTATATTGTTTTTTGCGCTATAAGCGCACGGAGCTTTTTTGTTACACCGCCCTCTATATTGCCCCGAAATCTCACCGATTAGTGAAATAAGATCCATATTTTTTTTCCCCCACAAATGCTGTGCCGCTGCTACTGCCGCTGCCGCTGCCGCTGCTAAGCTTCTGCACGGCTGCCAAGCAACTGCACGGCTGCTATGTTGAATAATCACTTATTGTGTAGTTATTATAGACTATTATAGTTGAGCATATATTAAAAAATAGAAAAATTATTATTTTTAATTAATATAATATTAGTTTAAAAATATAATTTAATATATAATGCAATAATTTATTAATTAATAATATTTATTATTAATTAATAAATTTAAATATTATATATAATATAAAA